TTTGCGACCCCATGAACCGCAGCACGCCAGGCCTCCCTGTCCATCACCAACTTCCGGAGTCCACCCAAACCCATGTTCATTGAGTTGGTGATGCCATCCAACCATCTCATCCTCTCTCGTCCCCTTCTCCTCCTGCCCTCAGTCTTTCCTAGAATCAGGGTCTTTTTCAATGAGTCAGCTCTTCACATCAGGTGGCCAAAGTATCGGAGTTTCAGCTTCAACATCAGTCCTTCCAATGAACGCCCAGGACTGATCTCCCTGCAGTCCAAGGGACTCTCAAAGAGTCTTCTCCAACACTACAGTTCAAAAGAATCAATTCTTCAGCACTCAGCTTTCTTATAGTCCAACTCTCACATCCATAAATGACCACTGGAAAAACCATAGCCTTGACCACAAGCAGTATAAGAGGGTTAAAATGTCTTCACATTCTCACCAACACTTTTTATTGTCCATCTTTTTGATTAGTGCCATCCTAATGGGTGTGAAGTGGTATCTCTCATGATTTTGCATTTCTCTGCTGGCTACTGATGTTGAGCATTTTGTCATGTATTACCAGCCATTTGTGTATCTTCTTTGAAAAAAATGTCAATTCAGATCTTTTGGCCACTTTTAATTTGGGCTATAGATGATTTACAAAAATTCTTGATATACTCTGGGTACTTTATCAGGTATATGATTTTCAAATATTTTGCCCCATCCTGTGGATCATCTTTTCACTTTCTTAAGACTGTCATTTGACATGTTTTTAATTTTGATGAGGTCCAATTTTTCAGTTTTTCACTGGTTGCTCATGCATTTGATATCAAATCTAAAAAACTATTGCCCAGTTCAAGATCACAAAGATGTAATCATTTCCTTCTAAGAGATGTATGGTTTAGTCGCTAAGTTGTGTCCAACTCTTTTGACTTCACAGACTGTAGCCTGCCAGGCTCCTCTGTCCATGGAATTCTCCAGGGAGAAATACCAGAATGGGTTGCCATTTCCTTCTTCAGGGGATTTTCCCAACCGAGGAACTGAACCCAGGTCTCCTGCACTGCAGGCATATTCTTTACCAACTGAGCTATGAGGGAAGCCCAAGAGATGTATAGTTGTAGCTTTCATGTTTATGTCTTTAATCGATTTTGAGTTATTTTTTGTATACAGTATGAAGTGGGGATCTAAACTGATTCTTCTGCATGTGAAAGTCCAGTTCTTCCAGCATCATTTGTTGAAGACCATCCTCCCACAGTGAATTGTCTTGCTACCTTTGTCAAGAATTTACCAGAGTTGTATAAGTTTACTTCTCAACTCTCAATTCCCTCTCATTGACCATACGTCTATCCTCCATGTGTCTTTGATTGCATCTACCTAGCACAGAACCTGAAATATGGAAGCATGCAATAAAGATTTAGTAGGTGAATAAATAGCCTTTTGTCAACAATAAATTAAAGTGTGAGCTGAGCAATACCTTAAGGAGCATTATCCTATCCCAATATTTAAAAAGCAAGAAACTGAGACCTAAGAGAGGCTACCTGGTGAGATCAAAGGAGAAAAAAATTACTTAAGAGGCAGAGGCAGAATTCAGTTTTCCTAACTTTTGGTGCAGGGTTCTTTCCATAATACCATGGAAAGTGGCTTCTCAACTAAACTAAACTGCCTAAATATATGCCAATGTGTCAGCCTATAAAAACCAGCATATATTAGAGACGGAGATAAGCATGTATCCTAATACTTAATCATAGGGGAATGCTTCATAAGCATAATTCACCAAAAAGCCTTACCATCAAAATGGGGCAGGAAATAATTAATATACCACTGAATGCAGTGTTTCCCTCTAGACGACTGTCCTCTATTTCACTCTCAGCTCAAGAACATAGCTAGTCACACTTTTAGTCCTTAGATTATTTTGGGCAGAAGAAAACCATTTGTGTGACAGTAAAAATTATAAAGCAATCAGGTGCCTAGTTCCATTACCCTGCTCTCTTTACCATTTCCCACCTTCACTGTGATGCTTCATTCACTACTAAGTGCTGTAAAGAATGCAGAAATAGAGCGATCATCATAAACTTAACTTTCCTTTACTATCCAGAAATTAGTCTGCCTCTTTCCAAAAACCAGAGAAATCTTAAAGCTGTAGAACAGAAAAATAAAGGGAAACAAAGAAACAATGTAGGAGAAGCCTTCTGAAACATATATGCGGGGCTGTAGATGTGAGGTAAAGGAAAAACACTAAGTATTCAAGCCTAATACTACAGTTACATGCACAAGGAAGGAAAATGCATCTGTGCTAATGCTGTGTATGCAGTATGTATAAGCAGACCATGAATTTTCTTGTAGTCAAGAATATATTCAACCCTCACTTTAAACTACAGCGTCTTCTCAGATCACCCAAGCACAGTTAACCTGACCTTTCATGGTATGCCTACTCTTTGTCCTACAGGTCTCCATCACTGTAATGACTACAGTGTATCTTAATAGTTACCTCACATGTTTGTCTCCTTTCAAACTATCATTGTGACAGTCTTCGAGGAGAGTCGCCGCGGTTTCCTGCTTCAACAGTGCTTGAACGGAACCCGGCTGCTCGTCCCTCCGCAGCCCCGGCAGGCTACTCAGAGCCAGCCCTCGTCACCACTTGACAACACCCTCCGACCGGCCCAAGGTCCCCGCCGCCGCTCCAGCGCAGCGCAGCTGTCGCTGTCGCCGCCACCGCCCCTTATCCGTCCGCCATGACGACCGCATCCCCCTCGCAGGTGCGCCAGAACTACCACCAGGACTCGGAGGCCGCCATCAACCGCCAGATCCACCTGGAGCTCTACGCCTCCTATGTGTACCTGTCCATGTCCTACTATTTTGACCGCGATGATGTGGCTTTGAAGAACTTTGCCAAGTACTTTCTTCACCAATCTCATGAGGAGAGGGAACATGCTGAGAGATTAATGAAGCTGCAGAACCAGCGAGGCGGCCGAATCTTCCTTCAGGATATCAAGAAACCAGACTGTGATGACTGGGACAATGGGCTGAATGCAATGGAATGTGCACTGTGCTTGGAAAGAAGTGTGAATCAATCACTACTGGAACTGCACAAACTGGCCACTGAAAAAAATGATCCCCATCTGTGTGATTTCATTGAGACTCATTACCTGAATGAGCAGGTGGAAGCCATCAAAGAATTGGGTGACCACGTAACCAACCTGCACAAGACGGGGGCCCCTGGATCTGGCATGGCAGAGGACCTCTTTGACAAGCACACCCTGGGACACAGTGAGCACTAACCCTCAGGCTGGCTTCCCACAGCCACAGGGCTGACTCCTCTGGTCACCAAGGCAGTGCATGCATATTTGGGCTACCTTCACCTTTTCTATAAGTTGTAACAACACATCTACTTAAGTTCTTTCTTTAGTACCATTCCTTTAAATAAAGTAATTTGGTACCCCTCCCCCCAAAAAAACTATCATTGCACTGAGGGTTGAAACCATGTGTTTTTCATGTTGTGTTCAGTATAGAATTTAGCACTTTATAATTCTTTGTTGAATGAACATTTTCAAAATGTTTTGTAATCCTGAATATACCTGTTCAAAAGCATCAATAACAAGAAATTTATTCATTCTTGCTGTGATAATTCCCAAATATTACAGTTCACACATATACATCACACATATATACAGTTCTCATATACACTTCCCTATACAAACTTCAGAGCTGGTCAATCTGCTAGAAAACAAACCTAATTCAATGTCTACTGCTGAATGTTGTAGTTGCTGGCCATCTCTACTAATAAAGCAATTTTATACTCTTAGCAAGAAACACACAAAAAGTTCAAGACTCATCCACTGCAAGCAGCATGATCTAGTATGGTGACATAGAGAGGAGATGGGGAACCACCTCTATAGAAGCATGTAAAGGAATTCCTGAGGGCAAGATATCTTATATTCACCAAAAGGAACTACAGATTAAGAAAGGATAAAATGATCGTCAAATTCTGGTGTACTGGTAAACGTAAAACGTTTGGATTATGAGAATCCTAAGATGTGATTCTAAGACGTGCCTCCACTGTGACCTCTTTAGGAAGGTAGGTGACTTCACTTCTCTGTGCCTCTTTCAGTACCTCTACTATAAAAAGTGAGTAAGAATGCCTATCTCACAAGCACAGATACTCAGACACTAGCATGGTTTGAGATCTGTTACAATGTCCATTCCATTCCTACCTGGTAACAGGCTGTGACTCAAGAAGCAGAGTCAAAAAACTCACTTTACTAAAAATATTTGTCCCAATAGATGTCAATGTTTCTAGTTTCATCATAAGGAAATTCTGTTTGGATTTTCAAAAGCCTCATTTAAATGTAAAATAATATGCTATTCAATCTTTCAAAGATAACCTGTCCAAAAATAAATGGAAAGAAAATAGAAACAACAGAAACAAAGATAGCCTGTCAAGGCCCTGTGGAGGATAACTCCTTCAACCAAAGGAGGAGGCTGAAGCAATAAGGAAATAGCAGTGAAAGGGGCCTAGAAACAAACTTTCTCTACTTTATAATTGCACAGTCAGCCTCATCTAACTATATACCACCACATACACTCACAGAAAATTCATAAATTCATCAGTAAACCAGTATGCCAAATCAAGGGTATACTATTAAGAGGTGAAATTTCTGTTTTTAAAACAAAAAAGATAAGCCCCAAACCACAATTTAATGATATATTTTTAACCACTACTACCACAAAAAAAGATGAACTCTGGGATAAATATTTCTTCTATGTTCCCTCAAACTGTTGACTACGTGTTGAGTCACAGAGTGAATTTTTATAAAATCATACAATATGGCATTGATAGCTATGTTATATAAAGTATTAATAAACTTTGTATTTAAAAAAATAAACCTTAAAACCATTCCATTCTTTACAGACCTGACCAAGACAATGCAATGTCCCAACTCAGACTTCAAATTTATTCCTTTTATTAAGGTGCGACCACTGCCACTTTTTTTTTTTTCCAATTTCAGCCCAAATTCTCAGTCACTCACCCACCCGCCATCTTATGAATCCTGTGCTTCCTCTCCGCCTGTGGGTTCCACCAAAGGGGACTCTATAAAGTAAATGTGGAGACAATTATTGCCAAAAGTGAAAGATTGAGAGATTCTTAATAGTTCCAGAAAGGCTAATAAGCCCTTGATTCATTAACTTAGAGAGGAGAAAGTAAATCCCACAAGCTAGAGGATAGGAATAAATTATAGCCCAACTCTAAACTGTCAAAATATGTCAAAGATTCAAAATGTTTGAAACAGAACTTTTGAAAATCCGGCAAAACAAATTTAGTGGTATTTGTGGATAAAGATAAAAATGATACTTCTGCCTTCCTGGGCTCACACAAAAACTCATCCTTATCAATGAAATCAGAGAAAAGAAACATAAAAGATTTGAATAAAAACAATTAAGAGCTGCATTTAAAGGTCATACACATATAAAGAATATTAAAGGTTCTCTTTTCTTCTGCTCTAGGCATTTTATGCTACATCTATAAACCTGACATTTGCACCCATGTTCTCCTTGCCTCTTGATAGAGTGAATAAAGCACCTCTCATCAGCAAGCCTGCAATCCTGCCCTTCTTCCTACATTTCTCTTCGTGATTAATACTATCACATATTCTCATTCAATGAAAAGCAAAATTGCCAATTCATTTCTAGTTTTCCTCCATTATATAATATGTCAAATTAGGCAAAATCAAAATGATACTGATGACAATAGAATAAACAGACACATCACTTTTTATGCTAGAAGCACAATTATAAATGCTTTCCATTAATTATTTAATTTTCAAAACCACTGCATAAGATAGTACTATGGACTATTTGTGCCCCCTCCCCAAATTCATGTTGAAAACCTAACCCCAAATGTGGTGGGGTCTTTGGGAATAAATTGGGTTTAGATAGGGTCGCAAGGGTGGAGACCTCATGATGGAATTAGTTCCCTTATAACAGACATCAGAGAGTTTGTCCTATCTCTTTCCACTAGGTGAGACACAAGGAGAAGGTAGGTATTGCCTGCAGGCCAGGAACAGTTCTCACCAGAACCCAAAAATGCTGACACTATGCTCTTAGACTTCATAGCCTCCAGAACTGTGAGAAATAGATTTCTGTCATTGAGGCTGCCCAGTCTATGATATTTTGTCATGGCAGCCCAAGCCAATTTCCCATTTTACTTTGCAACCCCATGGACCATACAGTCCACAGAATTATCCAGGCCAGAATACTGGAGTGGGTAGCCATTCCCTTCTCCAGGGGATCTTCCCAACCCAGAGATCGACCCAGGTCTTCCACATTGCAGGTGGATTCTTTACCAGCTGAGCCACAAGCGAAGTCCAAGAATAGTGGAGTGCATAGCCTATCCCTTCTCCAGCAGATCTTCCCAACCCAAGAATTAAATTGGGGTCTCCTGCATTGCAGGTGGATTCTTTACCAACTGAGCTATCAGGGAAGCCTAAGTTGAGAAAACTATGGCTTAAATAGGCTAAATAACTTCTCTACAGAGGACCCAGGCTACAGTGGTAGAACCAGGATTTAAATTGGGCTTTTAACTAACACTGTTCCTCTGATATCTCCATAATACTAAATTCATAATATCTATCATCAAATATGTTATGAGCAAGAAATCAAAATAAGTTGCCCTAAAAAACTCATACATCTAATCATTTATTATAACACATGGACTGCCAAAAGTATGAATTCCTCCAGGTTTGGTACCCAAGAAATATTTACTGAAACAAACAACAATACTACACTGTGATAAGTGTTAGATGAATAAAGTCAAATAAAGTAACACAAAGGTTTCCAGAAGGCAACAATTTCAGGGGTGAGTAAGATAACTGCTATGAGACAGTATGAAAAAGTCATAAATAAGTGAAATGCAGTCAGAACAGCATACAATTAATACATTTCGAGGGAATTTTTCAGGGATTACTAGTACACATTACATATAAGCTGTCTCTCCAAAGATGAATAGAATCTCACTTTTGAAATAAAAGACCGTTCTAAGTTGAATGGACTAGATGGACAGAAAAATGGAGTTTGAAAATATAGCTTGGGCTGTTCCTTTTCAATTCCATATTCAACACTGTAGTTTACAGTATAAAATATCCTAACAGATGCCCCTGTCTCTCATCGCTTCCTTTTTCAAACCACTCTACAGAAAGTATATAAGTAATCATCCTAAAACACATATCAGATTGGCTCCTTGTTCAAAAACATTCGATAGTCCTACTCTGCCTACAAGATACTATTTAAATTCCTCAGACTAGAATATTAGGCCTCTCACAATCTGTCCCTGTTTTTTTTACTTTCCCTCCCAATTCACCTTGAGTCATTATTCCTCTACACTGAAGCTATACTTGATTATCTGCTGCTCCTGAACAGGCCCTATTAAAAGGTCTCCATCTGGACTGTGGCGCATCTTAAGACCCATGTAAAAGAACTTCTCTGGAAGTATAACCTGCCTATTGTCTCATTTATTACCCTCTGTCATATGTCAGTTACATTTCTGCATGAGGGTCTCCACTGAAGACTACAAGCCATTTGAGAAATGGCCTCTACCCTACATGCAGAGTTATTAGGGGGGAAAAAAAAATCGAAGCAAATCTTTCTGTCTCTATGTGTGGGTACTACATAAGGAGCTAATCGTTAAAAGGCAGAATGGTTAGGGTAATAAACACAGAGAGTATTACACAATTACCTAACTCAGCCTGCAGAGGTGCACAACAGCTTTCCAGAGAAGAAAACAAACTGATTCTCCAATGATAAATATGAGAAGACATAGGTAAAACATACATACACAGGTACGAAACAGTGCCACTTGTGAGAACTACAGGACATTCAATGTTGCCAGGGTGTAAAATATGGAGCCAGAAGTGGCAAAGTATAAAGCTACAGAGAAAAAAGGCTTCACAGTGTGTTGAAAAACATTTTATGCTGTGGGCCAGTGGTTCAAAACTAGTAAAAACTCTGAATTTGTACTGCACCAAAACCAGGTGTAAGTTATACTGGAAGACAAGTTGAATTCAACAGGTAGTATTTTCACATGTCAAAAATCAAACAGATTAAAAAGATACACAGTAAAGAGTCTCTTCATACCTTTGGGACATGCCTGGGTCATATCCTTCTTCTTGGGGAAAACTGTTAAGTTTCTTATTTTTCCTTCCAGAGTTCCTTTATACCAATAGAGCAAATAAAACTACACAATCTGTTTCCCTCCTTTACAGAGAAAGTACTCTACATACGTTCTGCATCTTACTCTTTTCTTTTTAACTGCAGTGATTTTTCCATGACTTTCCATATAAATATTATTCTTCCTATTCCTTTTCAACTGCATAATATTCCACTATACTACCGCATCATTATTAACCTATCCACTATTTATGGACATTTGAGCCTCTGTTCCACTCTATTACAATATATTGTTTTGGTTGACATATAAGAAAAAAATCAAACTCTACATATATATGAGCAGAAAAGGGAATTAAAAACAATAATAAGGTTTTCTTTCAGATTATTGTGGATAATCTCCAAATCTTTTGCAATTACATACAACATTTGTATGAACAACCCTGTACATATATCATCACAAAATGTGAAAATATACCTGAAGGATACACTCCCTGAAATGGGAATATACATTTGTAATTTTGATATATATTATCAAATTGTCCCTAGGAAGAAGGAACTAGTATAGATGTCCTACCAACAAAGATGACCAGTGACACTGACTGGTTCCTCAGAGGAAGGGAAGGATCCTAGGGAAATCTACCCTTTAAAATTATAATCAAGGAAGAAGAATCCAGAAGCATGAGATAAACAATCAAACAGGTCAAAAGAAAAAACAAGAATTATTTACTCGATACACAGTAAAAATATTTACTGGATGACAAGTAAAAACAGATGATTCTTCTCTAGGGTCAAATATATAGCAGGGAGATCTAATAATTAAATAAAGAACTAAACTATAAAACTTAATTAAAGCAGTACGATAAGTCATGGAAAAATAGAACAAATCAAGATAGTATAAAACAAACAGTAATGAAGAATAAAGATAATTAAGAATAAAAGAAAGATAATACTATTTCCCATGAAAAGGAATCAGAACTCCCTGGGAAAATGGTTGATTCCATACCTGGGAAACTATATGATAAGCCTGGAATATTTTATTGTGTCAGAAAGTCTTCACAAATTGATGGGAACATGTCAAAATAATACAGACCTAGCTTTTCGGGGGCTTACAGGAGCCAAATCCAGGATAGTTTGAGAATTCAGAATTAATAATGATAGTAAAAGACTATAATCCATTGAGTAAAATAGTACCCATAAGAGAAAATTTTTCTGCAATAAAGTCAATTAAAATGAAAAAGGAACAGTAAATTAGAAAAGCACCATGTATCACAAATAGCTGACTCAAACAAGAGCCATAATTGAAAGCTGAAACTGGTGGGCCAAAGTTTGAGGAATACCTAGATATTTATACTGTCACAAAGTGTCACACCACAAGATTCTTTTTAATTACAGAGGGAAAAATAATAACCTTACAATGGAGAACAGTCTTGGTAGACACCATTGTAACCAGTGATCAAAGTTAACATCACCAGGATTGGGACAAATCAGTACCATGTGCTTCCACTGCATGACTAGACATCATGAAGTCACATGACTCTTACATAATGATCCAAGAACTTTTTGGAGACGGAGGGCTATGAAGATTATTACTGGCAATATTTGGATGATAATAGCATTGTGTCAATCTTAGTTTCTTGATTTTGATAACTGCACTTTAATTATGTAAGATTGTGTTCTAGTTTTAGAAAATAAAAGGGTCATCATGTCTCAAATGGTTCAGAAAATAAACATGTATTTGAACCTAAGTATCTTTAAAATATTTTAAGTATTTCTAATAAATATATCGATGTGGAATGAGGGACAAAGCACTGGGACAGAGAGGAAATGAGATGGAGGAGGAGGAGAGAAAAAAGAAAAACAATGCAAATGTGGACAAACGTTAACATTTGAGCAAAAGAGTGTATGGATTTCTCTGTACATCCACCTCTG